AAATAATAGGAGATATATATATTTATAAAGTAAAAAATCATATTATTTTACATAATTAGAGAGCAAGAAAGGGTTGATATATAGGATAATAGGAAATAGTTGAACATATATATAGAAGTAATAATTACCATATATATATATATATATATATATATGGAGGGGGAGAGAGAGAGAAATTTAAAGGAATTGGTTTATGCAACTGTGGAGGCTGGCAAATCAGAAGGCTGCAGAGCTGGTTGCAGGTTAGAAATTCAGGCAAAAATAATGTGGCAGTCTTGATTCTGACAACTGCAAACTCAAACAGATTCCTGTGTTTCAGTCTGGAGGCAGAATTCCTGAAGGCTTTCAACTGACTGGATGATGCTTACCCATATTATGGAGGGTAAATCTTATTTAATCAAAGTCTACTGATAAAAAAATGTTAAATCACATCCAAAAAATACCTTCACAGCAACATCTAGACTGTTTGACCAAATAATTGGGCACTATAGTCTAGCCAGCTTGACACAGAATATTAACCATCACAAAAAGTAAACTTACCAAGAGCTAATAAAAGCAAAAGAATTCCAAAGTTGGGTTGGATCAGAGTGAACAAGATTGGTTATCTGAGAAAGGCTGGCAAGTGCCGCATATGGATAGAAGAGGCAGCGAGGTTGCAGATAACTTGAGTCTGCTGGAGCATGAAAATGGTGTCCTGAGCTAAGTCTGCGGTATCAGTTGTAGGTAAATAAGAGCAGTCAGAAGCACACTAAGATGTCAGAACTGGGACTACTTAGGCTCCATTAGACCAATGCACTTCATCACATTGATTTTCATTGTTTGTTCTTATTCCCTTGTTTACTTATTAATTACATGCTGCTCCACTCAGAGCACTTTGACTTGCTTGAACATTTCTTAATTAGCTTATTGGTGCTGGTTTTTCTTGTCAGCTACACTATTCATTTCTGGAGTAACAATTCATACTAAGGCAGTTGTTGCTTGTTGACTGAACAGGCCAGGTAATTTCTCTGCACTTTATAGTGATGTCAGTTTTCTTCAACCCACGAAGGGCAGTTGGCACAAGTAAGTTGCTTTCATTTCACTCTAGGTTTTTTTTTTTCCAGTCAGGTACTCAGCAAACTTTGTATATTCTTTAGTCTTCAATCATGACTTAATTATCCTGTGGGCCCACCAGGTACGCACATGTTATCTAAGTGAATTACTTTGTTCACAGGCTCCATGATCTGATTTTTATATTCCCATTTAGTATTTGCAGAAATTTAATTTTCCCCAAATTTTGTTACTTTGGATAATATCATTACTACTTTGGTTTTTAATCTATTTGAATGTCTTTGGGGTCTGTACAAGGCACAGGGCTTTAGAAAAGTAATTCTCACATATCAGTGTGTATAATTTAAAGACCATGTAAAATATAGATTACTGGCTCCACTTTGAAAAAAATTATGATTTACTATAGATGAGGTGGGGCAAAAATATGCATTTTAAAGAAACTACAGCTTTCTATCTTGTATGATTAATAGTGATTTGTTAATAATTCATTATGATGTAGTCTATACTTTAAAATGGAAACTTTTATTTAAGAATAATTTTAGATTTATGAAATAGTTGCAAAGGCTGTACAGAGCATTTTCATGCACATTTCACTGTTTCCCCTAAAATTAATACCTTACATTGTACATGCATTTAAACTAAAAAATTAACAACATATTACTATTAAATAAACTTCAGACTTAATTCAGATTTGTAGATTTTTTTATGCCCATGTCCTTTTTCAGTGCCAAAATCCAACCCAGCCTACCACATTGAATTTAGTTGTCATGTCTCCTTAAAGTCTATGACAGGTTCTCAGCCTTTACTTGTTTCCCATGAGCTTTATAATTTGGAAGAGTACTTGATAATTTTGTAGCAAGTCCCTGGACTTGGGTTTGTTAGAGTTTTTCCACTCATTAGTGTAGAATTCTGGATTTTAGGAAAGAATACTACAGAGGTGAAGTGTCTTTCTCATTATATCCTACCAGAGGAGTGCATGATGCCAACGTGACTTCTCACTACTGATATTAACATTGATCTCTTAGTTAAGGAGAGGACTAACAGGTTTCTCCACTAAAAGGTCACTATTTTTCCCTTTCCATATTCTGTTTTTTAGAATGCAGCCCACACTCTGTGGAGGGCATTTAAATTCCACCTCCTGGAGAGAGGAGTATCTATGTATGTCATCTGAAATTCTTTGTAAAATTATTTGTACCTTTATCCTCAATTATTTATTTGTACAATTATTTATATCAGTATGGACTCATGGATATTTTATTTTATATTGTGTTATAATTTTTAAATTTTTATTCATTTTGTTACATAAATTGTTTTAACTTTGGCCACTGAGTGCTCTTTCAGTTTGGCTCCTGTGTCCTTCTGATCTGCTTTTATTCTTTTGTTTTCTGAGAACATCCTTATTTTCTGGCATTACACACTACTCCAGACTCATCTCATATTTTCACTGCCCCAGGCCTAGAATTATTCATTTCTCCAAGGTTGTCTCTGTGTTTTACTCTTGTTATTTTGGAGAATGCTATTTAGAAGCCAAGATCTGATCACTGGATGTACTTGTTACTTCGGTGTCATTTTTTTCTAATTTCTCAGCAGAGACAGAGCTATAAAATATATGCATGTATACTAACCTATATGTACACACATCTATAATTACTTCTTTAGCTATATATCTCTATATATGTTTAACTGTGTATTATACATTTTTTGTGTTCTTTGTTTCCTTATTAAGTTTTAAGAATTATTTATGTATACTAGATATGAGTCCTTTGTATAATATTCTACTTTGAAAAATGAATAAAATGAAGTGGCTTTAAGGAACAAAAACTGTTTTAATGAACAGTCACATGAAAAAATTTCCTACACACCCAATTGAATTTTAGGTGATTCAATATGTGTTTTTCCCTGGGATTATTTGGAATATAGAAGAATTTTTTTCAAACCCTCATGCATTTTAGGTGAGTACTCATATGAGCTTGCTAGTTACAATATTGCTAAAGAGAATTGTTGAATCATTGGCTCTTGAATTTAACATATATTCCATAGAATTTTTATGAGTAAGAAAGTTAAAAATAAATACGTATCAAATTTGATCTTACCAATTTCACATTATGAAATCTACTAAATATCTTGAGACTTTAACATAGATTCTTATAATCAATAAATGAAAATATTTGTGATATGTAAATATATGTTTGCTTCTCCCTTAGACACTGAATATAGAATATTTTTATTTTCAAATTGTAGTAATACTCTATAACAATAATTTACTCAATGCATTTTCTGTTCCAGACACTACACAAAATAATATTATATAGATTATCCTGATTTACACATAATCCATTTCTTTCATTTAATGAAAAACCTAAGAGGAATATATACAGTGTCTATTTTGCAGAGGAGGAACCAAAGAGGAGAGAGGCATGGATCATGCCTTATTTACAAAGAGGAATGACGATATACCTGCTAGTAATTGTAGAAAACATCGTTTAGCTGCACATAAGAAGGGAAATCAAAAACCTTCTTTTCCAAAATCAGTAAGAATGTACAGAAAAAATGTGATGAGAATATGACATGCTTAAGGAATAATGCAGACTGTATTTGTCTATAATTAAAATTTTTTATAAAAATACTTTTCAGAGTATTGTTTTAAGCACTACAAGAGAGTTAAAAATTTAACTGATATTATTCAAAGGAAAATCAATGATTGCAACTGGACTGGGGGTATAATGATATTCAGATTGGAAAGAAAGAAGGGAAACTGTCTTTATTCACAGATGACATTATCATATATATAGAAAATTCAGTGAAATCTACAAAAATGTTCATGAACATAATGAGTGAATTTACCAATGTTGTATGATACAAATGGATATACATATATATATATATATATATATATATGCTAACAACAAAAAATTGGAAATTGCAATTAAAAAACAATACTACATATAGTATCAAAAACAATATTCAGGAAAAATCTGGAGTGTAAGATGTGAAAGACACACTAAAAATACAAAATATTCCTGAGAAAATGAAAATCACATAAATAGAAAGATGTACCTTCCTCAATGGTCAGATGATTTCCTGTTGTTAACATGCCAGCGATCCTCAAATTGATCTATAGATTCAACAGAATCCTAATCAACATCCCAACAGGACTTTTTTAGACACTGACAAACTGACTTTAAAATTTCTATAGAAATTCAAAGGACCTAGAAGAACTCCAACTTTATAAAAGAACACTGTTAAAGAACTAGTACAGCCTAATTTCTAGATTTATTATAAAACTAATCAACAGAGTGTGAAATTTCTGTGAGAGAAAAATAAATGGAAGAGAAAAGAGTGCCCAGAAACTGACCTTGAAAAAATATAGACAACTGGTATTCTACCATTTCCAAATGTAATTCAGTGGAAAGATAGGTTTTTGAAAAATAGTTCTGAGATTATCAGATATACATAAACATAAAATATTATAAAATTATATTTTATAATAAAAACTTTGATCTGTATCTTGTACTGTTTACAAAAATTAAAACATTTAAATAAAAAAAAACTTTGTGACCTACGGATAGGCAAAATTTTCATAGATACATCAAAAGAAGCACCATCTGTAAAAGAACATATTGATAAATTGGACTTTATCAAATTAAAAATACTTCTCTTTGGCATTGTTAAGACAATGAATGGGAAAAGCCAAGAATTAAGTGAAATTTGCAAATCATATATCCGATAATCGACTTACATCTGGAACACAGCAAGGATTCTCAAAACTGTAATATCTAGCAACACAATTTAAAAATGGGTAAAAATTGAACAGCAAATATAGAGATGTTCAATAGCAGCAGCCATTAGGAAATGCAAATGAAACCCAGAGTGAGATTCCACTACACACCTGTTAGAATTCGGTCTGCGTATGTGATGTCAGAGCTGCCCCGCCTCCCGGAAGAACCTGGGTTGCGCGTGGTTCATGGTCTCCTAGCGACCAGAGGTGCAGGGATCAGGAACCGCTGAAGCAGGAGAGGTGGCAGCCCAGCGAGAACCACCATGGGGGACCAGAGGCCGCAGGACCGGCCGAGGTCCCTGGGAATGGACTCCATGCCCTGGTACTGTGACAAACGGCCTTCCAAGTGCTTCACGGAATGCAAGCATAGGCGCATGAAGTTGCCACCCATAGACACTGAGAACTGGATATTTGTGAAGGAGGGCATGGACGACTTCCGCTACGGCTGTCCATCTCCCGAGGATATGCTCATTTGTCGCCGGGACAATTTCTTACTCCCCAAAATCTCTAGCAGAAGTCCGCATGCTGACCCCAAAAGCAGGCAGAAAAAGCTGCTCAAGAAAGCAGCCCTATTTTCCAATCTCTCGCCAGCCCAGCTAGCACGGAAGGCTTTCGTAGAGGAAGTGGAAGGCCAGCTTATGGCTGAGCATTCCTTGGCCATGGACCCCAATCTGGGAGAAGATATGCCTCCAGATCTCCTACGACAGGTGCTGAAAGTGCTGGATCCTGAGAGGAAGCTGGAGGTCTCGGAGAAGGCAACCAAGGAACCCTCCAAGCCTGGTAAATACCCTTGTGGGGAATTCTCCCCATGGCCTTCTGAGACTCCGCTGCTCCATCTCTGTCCAGAGCCTCTCAAGATTCTGCTGTCCATTCTCAAACCATACCGTTCTGTGACTGAAGAGTCCTATCTCTGCCAAGAGCCTCCCAAGACTCACGCATCTCATCTCCGCCTGGAGCCTCTGGAAGTTGCAGTTTCCCATATCTACCCGGAACCTCCTGAGAGCGGAGTGTCTCATCTCCACCTGGAGCCTCCTGAGACTCACATATCTCATGTCCGCCCGGAGACTCCTGAGACTGGAGTGTCTCAACTCTCCCCAGAGCCTCCCAAGACTCCAGTGTCTCATATCCACCCAGATCCTCTCAAGACTGGAGTGTCTCATCTCCTCCTAGAGCCTCCCAAGACTTGTCAGGTGTCCAGTCTCCACTCAGAGACTCCCAGAACTTGTCAGGTGTCCAGTCTCCACCCAGAGCCTCCAGAGACGGGAGTGTCCCATCTCTGCCTGGAGCCTCCCAAGACTCGTCAGATGTTCAGTCTCCAACCAAAGCTTCCCGAGACTGGAGTGTCCCATCCTTGCCCAGAGCCTCCCAAGACTTGCCGGGTGTCCAGTCTCCATCCGGAGCCTCCAGAGACTGGAGTGTGTCATTTCCACCTGGAGCCTCCCAAAACTCGTCGGAAGTCCAGTCTCCACCCAGAGCCTCCCGAGACTGGAGTGTCCCATCTCCACCCAGAGCTTCCCAATAGTCGTCGATCGTCCAGTCTCCGCCCGGAGCCCCCCAAGACTGAAGTGTCTCATGTCCACCCAGAGCCTCCCAATAGTCGTCGATCGTCCAGTCTCCGCCCGGAACTCCCCAAGACTGAAGTGTCTCATGTCCAACCAGAGCCTCCCAAGACTCAGGGGTCCATTCCTAGCCCAGAACCTCCCGACACTAGTGTGGCGTCCAATCTCCTACTAGAGATACTGAAAATGCTGGATTCCCAGAAGAAGCTGAAGGACGTATGGGCTCGTTGTGAGGCCCGGGTGAAGCCAAAAGAGAAACCCACTGAGTTTGATAAATACACTACTAAAAACATCTTCCACCGGCTTCCCGATTTTTTGCAGGTTTACGAGGTTCACTTAGAGAATCTCCGTGAAAAGCCTCTTGGGACTCGTCGGGGGTCCAGTCTCCGCCCGGTACATCAGAAGACTCGTTGGGGGTCCCGTCTCCACCCCAAGCATCCGAAGACTCGTCGGGGGTCCCGTCTCCACGCAGAGCTTCCCAAGACTCGTCGTGGGTCCAGTCTCCGTCCAGAGCCTCCCAAGACTGAAGTGTCTCATCTACACCCGGAGCCTCCCAAAGCTCCAGTGTCCCAACAATTATCGGAGCCTACCAATATTCAAGCGGCCTTTCTAAAAGCATTGTTTCCGGAAGACACACCAAGTACAAGGAAGGGTTCTCCTAAATTTAGATACACATCGGAAAAACTCCGTGACTTCTTCAAGTGGGTTAAAGACATGGGAGTTGATGAAGAATCCATCAGGGATTTCTTTGATTTTACTCCCGAGTGCAAACCAACCTGTGACCAGCAAAAGACAAAGAAGATAAACGAGTGTCACTCAGAGCTGAAGTACAGCATGGAGCTAAGTGAAAAGGATGAGGTCAAATTCTTCTCACAGGAACAAGTCTGGAACAGGAAAACTCCAAAACCACCGAATTCTTATACTGCACAGCCTGTGAAGATGAGGTATGGAGCATGGTACCTCAAGCCTAAGTTGTGGAGAAAGCTAAGAAGTGATGAACCTTTGATTGACCCCAAGCTCTTACTTAAAAATCCTGAGGAATCCAACATTCTTGACGAACTTTATGGACCAATCGCCTTTAAAGATTTCATTCTAAGCAAGGGCTACGAAATGCCTGTCCTCATTGAAAGGCTGTTTACCAGGATGGGATGGAAATATGACGCTGTTAAGACACCTATGGAACGTGTAACAAAATATTTCAAGTACAAGCAAGAGGACACAGACGTATCAGAAGAAAATTAGATGATTTTCAACTGGGTATTTCTTGCTCTAATGTTAAACATCAATCAGAATTTATGATGACTGGCCTGGTAGGTGTACAACTTTGGTATCTGTAAATTCAGTATCTAATGTTTATACACATTTCTTAATCAACTGCTTTGGCTTCATTATTTCATATCTTTTATCAATTATGTATTTAATATCACTGTGAATATTACATCATAATGTCAATTATTTGTAAAAATACATAAAACCAGAAACAAAAGAATTATCCTTAAAAAGAGAAACAGGGTCATGCACATTTACTTATGCCTGTAACCCTCCCCACTTTTGGATGCCTGGGTGTGCCAGTCACTTAAGCCCAGGAGTTCCAGACCAGCCTGTGCAACATGCTGAAACCTGGTCTCTACAAAAAAATGCAAAAATTAGCTAGGTGTGGTGGTGTGCATCTGTAGTCCCAGTTACCCAGGGGGGTGAGGTGGGAGGATCGCTTCAGCCCAGGAGGTGGACACTGCAGTGAGCCGTGGTCCTGCTACTGCACTCCTGTCTGGGTGACAGAGCAAGATGCCATCTCACACTCAAAAACAATGCTGAGTAAAAGGAGAATTGTATAACTCTTCTTATATTAAAATTTTAGTGAGAAAATTATGACAATTATTTTGTTTACCAAAAATTTGAGTCTATAACCTAAATAATGTTAACACTTTTTAATATTAAAATTATTATCTTCCTCTTTGGGATGCCATCCAACCCCCAAAAACAAGTTTGAAGACTATTTACGAAAATCATAAATGAAACTTGAGTTATGTCATTTTATTATATCTCTCAATTGAATGTATGCAAATTTTCATCATGTTCATAAACCTTCACTACAAGACTATTACCAAATCATATAAACAGGTACAGAATAAGAGGTAGCTACAACTTCCTGGCAAATCTCATGTGCAAAATAGATCTGTATGAGAAAAGCTACCAAGTAACATCAAATATTCTTACATATCTGTTCAAGTTCAAATAATTTTCATTTCACTAATAGCAATTTAAAATGCACTCATAAGTTTAAAATAATAAATCAAGCAACTCCTTTACCCTTCAAAAATAACAGTTAACACTGGTGGAGGTAAATTTGTAGCTAAATGTAGTATAGATCTGTAGGGTACTTTTTCTTTCAGTGATGAAATAATCCATCTGTAAATGGAAGTATATGCATATATTTCATCTAAGGAGTGATATATACATATGTCTATGTGCAAATTCTGTTTGTAGTGAAGCTTGTCTGTGGGCAGTGTGTTCCTGAAGAATGAAGTTTTTTATGTTGTTTTCTAAGGCAAGGTGTAGAATTTCTCTTCAAATTTATCATCATAAACTTAGGTTCATATCATCACTGTATCTTATTGTATCTGCAACAATTTCCAACCCGTGTCTCTTCTCGAATGCATTTTTATAAAATACAAGCATGGCTTATTAATTCTCCAGGCTCCTCTAAACTTATCTAGATAAAACCCACACACACATGCACAAACATACATGCACATGCTCCTGCATTCCAGACTACAATCAATATTCCTTTTCTTACTTCTGTATCTTTCTTGTGTCTTCATATGCAATTTTCACTATTGTTAGGACTTCACTGAGGCCATATAATCCTTTTTCACTTTCTCCCCACCAAGGTCAATTTCATGATTACTTTTATTAAGATCTTATTATATATGTAGATAGGGATACTCATTTCCCAGTTGTCTTCCACTGAAGAACTCACTTCAATATCCTAGAGAAATTAGTCATTAATGCCTTCAAAATAAGGGAAATCCCCATACTTATTTATTCAGACTTCAAAGAGGCCAATGTCATGCTTCATGGCTCAGAGATATCTGGTTTCTTTCTTTTGTTTTCTTTTTCTTCTTCTTTTTTTTTTTTTGAGATGGAGTCTTGCTCTGTCACCCAGGCTGGAGTGCTGTGTCACGATCTTGACTCACTGCTCCTCTGCCTCCTGGGTTCAAGCAATTCTTCTGCCTCAGCCTCCCTAGTAGCTGGGACTATAGGCACACACCACAATTCCCAGCTAATTTTTGTATTTTTAGTAGAGACAGGGTTTCAGCCTATTGGCCAGACTAGTCTTGAACTCCTGACCTTGTGATCCACCCTTCTTGGACTCCCAAAGTTCTGGGATTACAGGTGTGAGCCACTGCACCTGGCCGAGTTATCTGGTTTCTCAAGTTCTCCACTGAAGCTTTGGGCTTCATGCAGCAGCATTCAATGTTAAGTTCCTTTAAGCAAGAGACAGACCTAGTTTTCCACATTTTGTTATGTGACCTTGCACTTCACAGAGGATGGATCCTCATCTATACAATGGACACCATATGATGAAACTCCAATTCTGGTGAGACTTAAAGGATTACTTACTAAAGTGCCTAACATCATAGAATTCATACTCAACATGTATTTGTGGAAAAGGAGGAAGAAGGAATGGAAGAAGGGTCCTATAAAAATCACAACAGAAAGATAGCAATAAAATAACTTTTTGATAGTGTTTATCTGATGACAGTCTTCATCTCTATTACACACAAACTTAGCCTTTGCTTAAGATGAAAATGTAGTGCTTGCTTTGACTGTGCATATACTAAAATTAAGATGAAAAAGTATAATTACAAAATAAGAGCCACTGGTTAGGGCTTCTATTGCTTATTGGCAATGACTACTTCCAGTGAAATAAATTTTCCTCAGAGAAATTATGTGGGTTTCTCCACACTGTAATTATACACATTGGTATTATTTATCACACAGATATAAACAGAAAAAATAACCGATCCTTTTTGATTTTTAACACAAGTTTGCTTTCTGAAAACATGCAGATTTCAAATCCATAGGTTTTAGAAAGAGAGGGAATTCGAGAGACCATGATATATAATTGTCCCTGTGTAGCCTAAAGCTATGAATCGTATATTCCATAAATACTGTAATAATCAACTGTATTACAGCATCATGTAGGTTTCATAAAGGCTTTGGAGAATTTGACTGTAGGAACATGTGATTTAACAAAATGATGGGAATTATTTTACATTTCTCAGAGTCTGCATTAACGAGCAAGGCCTTTGGAGCTAGGCAAAAATGAGTTCATATCCCACTGCTGCCATGCTCTTATCCTGAAGCTTTAGGCAGAGGCCGAACAGGTGGAGGGAAAACACAGAGGGTGGAAGCTACGTGTTCCTGGCCCCCAATAACTTTTACAAAGGGGATGTGTCTAAAAGGCAACGCAAGGCAAGAAGCAACCCATTCTCACTGTAGACCTTTGGAATCTCAGCAGGAGGAGACTCCTCAACCACCATGGACACTCGAGTTGGCAGGAAAAGTTTCTTAGAGAAGTGATAGCGGCACAACTCCAGCCAGGGGCAGAGTACAGATGTCCTGTATCAGCAACTGTAGTTGAGCACTCTCAGAGGCATCCATCTCCCTAGGCTAGAATTGCTCTCATAGAACAATTTAGCCCTAGGGGAATTTTTGGACCTCAACTCTACAAGGCAATCTCATCCATGAGACAGGACCAGTCTAACCAGAGCACCTCTCAGTGTGCTGGCCTCCTGCCAGGTGCCTCCTGGGGCCCACATCATAGCTGGTGGATCATGCCTGACTGGCAGACAAACAAGAGCTCATTTGCACTGATGGTCACCTTCCACATTGTTATGCCTGTGACCTTGCCTTCCCTTCCCCACCAGTACACTGGTACTGGAACTCGTGCACCTTGCCTTGCCATTGCTGCTGGCATGATTGTACCCACTCACCCCTCCTCCCACCTCACCACACCACCATTGTCTTCAGAACATTGGCGGGCCCAGAGAACCCCAGACCCACCCCTGCTAGCACCCCGCACCCTGAGCCTGGGTCACCAGAGCAAAACTAGGCATGGAAAACAGTAAGCCCCAGCCTTAAGCAGACTGCTGCCAGTGTGAACATGCAAAGAGGGCACACAAAGTACTACACCCACCAATGCTCCACCTCCATGCTAAACACACATGCACACAGTCCCAGTGGAGACTCATCACCCCCATCAAGCCATACGGCCACCACTGCTGCTGCAAATATCCACCTTAAGGCTACTACCCCGGGACCACGAGAGCCCTGCTGCAGCAAATGGAGTGTGCACTCTTCAATGCTGCTGCTGCTGCTGATGATGATGATGACACATGAGAACAAGGACAGATCCCACTGTCACTGCACTTTGAAGTGCTCTGGCTGACACCACCAACTAGAGTGTTGTGACCAGTAGTCTGGTAGCATGTCAGCCTCTTCAGTATAACAGGTTTGTAAACTGGAGGAACCAGAGATCAAAGGTGGGGACTGATACCAGTCTACCAGAGTTACAGCATGAGATCCAGGCAGGAGTTCTGAGCTGAGCTTTGGCCCCTGAAAATTTTCAGTCATGAAGTCAGTTGACTGAATCTACCTTATATCACAACCAAACCTCCACAGTCATCAGATAGAATGAAAGAAAAAAAAATAGCACATCCACAGGAAAGCAACTTCAAAGATTTAAGAAACATCAGCCCACAAAGATGAGAAAGAACCAGCACAAGAAGTCTGACAACCTAAAAAGCCAGAGTGTTTTCTTTTCTCCAAATGACTGCACTGGTACTCCAGCAAGGGTTCTTAATTGTAGTGACATTTCAGAAATGACAGAAATATAATTCAGAATATGGATAGGAATGGTCATTGAGATTCAGGAGGACACTGAAACCCCATCCAAGGATCAAGGAATTAATATAAAATGACACATGAACAGACAGATAAAATAGCCAGTATAGAAAACAATTAATCTGACCTAACAGAGCCAAAAAACACACTATAAGAATTTCATAAAGCAAATCGTAAGTATTAGAAGCAGAATAGATCAACCTGAAAAAAGGGATCTCAGAGCATGAAGATGGGATTTCTGAAATAAGACAGACAAGAATAAAGAAAAAATAATATAAAGGAATGAGTGAAACTATCAGAGAAATACGGGATTATGTAAAGAGACCAAATCTACTACGTTTTGGTGTCCCTGAAAGAGATGGGGAGAATGGAAGCAACTTGGAAATCATAATCCAGGATATAATTCATGAGAACTTCCTCAATCCAGCTACAGAGGCCAATATTAAAATTTAGGAAATGCAGACAACGTCTACAAAATATTTCACATCCCCAAGACACATAATCATTAGATGATCCAAGGTCAAAAATAAAGAAAAAATGTTGAAAAGCAG